ACGTTGGTCGGGCACGGCGTCGAGGTAGCCGGCGCGTCAGTCGTAGTAGGCTTGGGCGTCGTGGCCGATGGCGTCGTCGTAGGCGCATCCGTTGGGTAGACGGGGCCGGACGTGGGCGCGGACGTGGGAGCTGTCGTCGGGGTCGGCAATGGTGTCGGGAGCGGGCCCGTGCAGGGCGTCGTCTCGTACAGCTCGAACGGGTTGACGTACTCGGTGCACGGCGCGGTCGTCGGCACGTCGGCCGCGAGGGCAAGGGACGAGGCAGCCGCCAAGAGGAGCGTAAACTTGACCATCGTTTTGTAGAAATGGGCCACCCATGTCGACGCAAGCCGGGGCGACCTCTGCCGAATCTGGCCCAGACCCAGCTGGACGTGAGAAACAAGGCGGCTGGGTGCATCGCCCACACCATGTGCCCGCCAGCTTCAATCGTTCAGATTTCTGCCACAGGTACCACGCTACGCCTTCACGACGCCAACTCTACTTAACGCACGTCGCCACGGCCCATTTTGTCCGTTGGCAAAGTGGATTTTAGGCCATCGTATTCGTCCTTTTTGGTGTCGATTTGCGGACGTTCGAGACACGTGTAACCCACATTGCACCACCGCGATAAGATCCAGCATGACGGAGGGTTCATCTCGCGAATTCAAAGCGAGCGACTGCGACAACAACGATCGGCTATCGCTATCCAGTGCTTTGGATGCGCGACAAAGACGGCGACGGACGTTCGGCGAATGGCCACGAACGGTTCGAGCGAGACGCTCGCCGAATGTATGGTTCCCTTCGTGTGGCGTTCGATGAAAAGAAGTCGATGTACCGATTCTCAACGTGTCACCAGGCTCTTTGACTCAAAATAGCCTGGTGACAACGAGCGAGAGCCTTCATCGAGCTCAAAAGTTTTGAGCTCGATGAAGGCTCTCGCTACCGGTAGTACCGGTAGTACCGGGTAGAGTGTAAAGCACATTGGAATCGACTACCGGTAAATGACAAATAGGTACAAAATATCGCTGAGGACAAAGTGGAATTCACCCTTGTGAAAAAGTGGTTTCCGACGGTGCTGCTACAACGACCGCGTCTTCCGTCCCGAGGCGCCCGTCGTGACACCCGAAGCGGCCGCCGCCCGCGCCGCGTTTTTGACCAAGATGCACCTTCACCACTCATCGCAACGGCCAAGGCAAGCATGGACGTCATTGCGGCCCTGACGGCG